GGCCCCCGTTATCCCAGGCTTCAGCCCCCTTCTGTACGTAAAGTATGCGAGGCAGCCCGCTACGCTCGGCACGCTCCAGCAGCGGGCAGCTGCTCGCTGCGCAAGAGCAACTTTTTAGAGAAAAGACCAGGCTCAGAAAGGCTGAGGTCCTGCAAATTGCTACCTACGCAACTATACATTAAAAGGCAAGCTAAGGACAGCAAGCTCGCAACGCCAGAGCGCCAGAACTGTCAGCTGGGAACTGCCACGCTCGGGCCGCCGGCCTAAGCTGTCTTCCGTCTGCGCAGTGATTAAGGCGCTGACCGGCATTACCCAGCAGCACACCACCTCTCCCGCAGGACTGTTCCCTCATCCAGAGCACAAAGCCGGTACCGTTTGCTTAACATTCAGCTATTCCACGTTTTGCTTCCCTCGCCGATGTTCGTTACCTGGCCTCAGATCTTATTTCCCACGCGCGATGCAAATCCCCAAACCAACAGCGTTGATTTCCTTGTGGGTTTTCCGTAACACAACCTACCCGAGCGCTGTGCAAACCGTCCATTTTCTGCGGTGAAACGACGGACCAGCACAACCCCGGGCACTTCGCGCAGGCTAACTGTAGGTGCAGCTCGTTATTTGATCTCCTCTTCTTCCATTTTATCCAGCTCAGCTCCACGCCCGGCTCTTTCTGATGTCCCTGCACGGTGTCACAAACGTACAAGGTCAGGCTCCCCGCAGCGGGGAACCCACAGGAGGCGCTGTTTAAGCCTTTTGCTCCGCACCCCGCCGGACCTCTGCGGACAAAGCCAGTCCGGCACCTCGCTGTCATCCGGGCGCTGCTGAGCAGGGCTTCCAAGGGAGTGTCCGAGTCTAGAACGGCACGACACAACAGGGAAACAAACTTCCAGCGCTTTGGAATGCTCTTTCTGCCGCCCTAAAAGCATTTCCCTGAAGCTGTGCGTGTTACATCCTAGGTTGTTGAACTCCTCCCAATCAGCTAAAAAAGCTCCTAAGCCTCAAAGAAACAAAGATGGGCAAAAGGGAGAGCTGGAGGCCAGGGCGGACGCTCTGCTGTGCGGTCTTTGAGAGTAAGGAACCAAGGTTTGACAGAATTGTAAGCGAGCAAAAATAAGGTGTTAAAATTACAGGCCTCCTCAGCTATTTCTAATAAGAAACACGGCTAAGTACCGTAGCTGTAACGAACATAAATCAAGGCAGTATTGTACAGCTCAGCTAACGCCGCCGCTCATCTCTAACAGCCAAGTCTGGGCGCAGCATTATCAAAGAAACCATAGACTTGCTTGTGCGTATTTCCAGCCCGATAGATACACGTATGCACACATGTATTTACATATGCATGTATGTATATATATGTTAAAAATCTGTTAAAAAAATCTGCTAAGCATTTGCAATTCTAAAATTATTCTTGCTAAGGCTACATCAGACCGGCTTTCTGCACCCGTGCGGCTGCTGCTGACGTGCCAGCCCGACAGCTACGGATACTTCATGCACCTGAGGCTGGGCCCCGAAGCCAAGAGGCACCCAGGGCCGAACGGTTCTGCACGGGGCCAGATCCCGGGGCGGGAAGCCCGCAGCAGCATTTGCGTGGCAAGAACAATACTTACGGGAGTCAGCCCTCGGTGTGGCGGGTAACGCGTGGCTCTACCTGACCACGAAGGCTCTGCCAGGCCGGCTCTGTGGAATCACGCAGCAGAAGCGCCTGCGACACAACAAAATTGCAAAGCAAGTTTTAATTGCAACGAGAAATCAAACTGAGGAACTTTAAAGAAGAACATTGCCTCTATGGAACCGAGAGAAATTAACTCAAGAGGAGTTTTTGCAATGGTATTTAGTACAAACTCTCAGATACTGAACATTTTTCAAGACAAGCCCCTAGTAAACTTAACGATAACGCCTAGGAGTAATACGTGTAGTCGAGACCAACCACAGCCTTCACCCATCACGTACGCGCACCAGGTTTAATATTCAGTTATGCAGTGACGCTCCCTGGTATTTAGGAATTTACTGCATTTCTGACCTACTGCGCTCCTTGCCAGTCTGCATTTCATGACCACTCCTAACAGCGGCCAGCTTGGAGAGCACTAATTCTGTCCTTTCCAAAGCAGACACATCACTCGAGATGAGCCGGGGGAAAACAAGGTGCCTTGCTGAGATGGCAGTGAGACCCACTTTGGGCGCCTGTTTTAGAAAACTAAAAATATTTTGAAGCATCATGCAGCTGGTTGCCTACTTCCACAGGGCCTGCGGTAGCGGGGGGCCGCGGGACATCTGTCCTTAAGCAAAGATAATGCGGGCTGGTTCAGAGAAAGGCATGAGCCGGTCCAGGTAAGGTAGGTACAGACTGATTTACTTTCTTTGCCACTTCCACAAACTGAGGAACACATCCCTTGTACAACGCCTGGGCATCTCCCCCCCCCAGCCCCTTTTACTCTTTACCGTGAAACCCACAGTTTATTTCCGTCCAGATACCAGCTCTGCTGAGCCTTGCCTTTGGTGTCACAGCCTGACCTCCTTTAGCGACCGACGCACGGGGCCTCAGCTCTCCTCCCGGCTGGAGCGTGGCTTGGGCTCAGCAGAACCGAGGGCAGGACCCTGCCTGAGGCAGCCCCGCGACCCCGAGCGTGTCCCCCGAACCAGAGCACGCGTGCGTGACCTGCTCAGGTTCCCAGCCCGCTAACCGGTGGCTTAGTGAAAAGTAGACATTTTTTCTTTTCCAAGTAATTAGAGATGCGGGAGGCCTACAGCGCGATCGTTAAAGCCAAGGCAATACACATCAGTTTCTTAGCACGGTATAGGTCTGAAAAGAACGCCTGCGCCTCGTTTTTTAAATTCGTTACTATTTGCATTTCAGTAACGCCTGAGGTCCCATTCATGGGCTGGAGCCCTATTGTAGCAGGCTTTGTGAGCACACACAATAAAAAGGCCACGCACAAAGACCTCTCACTTGAAGGGCTGTAGTCGTACTACTGCAAAAAAAAAAAAAAACAAAAAAAAAACCCAAACCAAAAAAAGCCCAAAAACCCAAACCACCAAACCCAAAGCGCCCAACCCCAAAAAGCCTGGATATACAAAGGACCAGATTTTATGCTCCTCAGTGGAAGCCCCTCCCTTCCTGCCCGCCTGCAGGGGCAGCCGGAGTCCTGCCCGCACGCTCCTGCTTGGCAGCATGGCAGGTAAGGAAGGTGCCCCAAGCGGCTCCTGGCCTTGCCGCTGCCCTCGTGCGGGCACATTCATATTGCCACGACAACCCAAAAGACTACCCCCCGCTCTAGCTCCACTCATGACAGCTCCGGTCGTGCGTTCCAAAGTCGCAAAAGCCTTCTTTGCTGAGATGCCACGTTTAAAATTTCAGCCTTATCTGCTATCCAATGACCTCTGTCATTTGATTTCCAAAACGGCACAAGAAGCTTTTTTTGACATTACCCTGCCTGTGCGTTTACCTCGGCAGCGTGAGAAAGGGCTTTCAGTCCCAAGGTGTCAGACAAGAGTTGCCAGACAGCACGTGAAATGCAAGCGCTCCATAAATGAACATGGCCATAGCTTCTCCTTCATGGTGCATTAAAACGGGGAACGTTAAACCACACAACCATACTTAATTGTTTTAAAGACACTATTAATCTAGCAGATTGTTAAATGAAGAAGCATAGTAGATCTATTATGTTTAACAAAGCAGCGTAAGATTTATGGTCAAGATTTAACCACAGGACATAGGAAACTGGAGGGAAAAATGTGAGACATGAAAATTACGGTTGTAAAATACTTTATGAAAAATAAAAAATACTGGAAAGAGGCAGTGCTTGTGACCATTTAGCAGAATAGATGCATTCCATAAAGTTGTTCTTATTTTAAGGCGGTTAATTTTGAAACAATGCGTGCCAAATACAATGCAATTAAAACCACCTCGAATCCTCAACAGAAATGAATAAACAAATACCCATAAATCATTCTAAAAATAGGATCCAGTAAGAGCAAGCCTTCAATGGCCTGCGGTACTGATACAGAAATCAGCGGTTCCTGTGTTGCAAGAGGTTCCTGGAACTGCTGAGGCAGCGGCCCTAACGCGCTGTGCGGATCCGGGGAGCACCCGGGGCCCATTTCGGTGCTTGTGCTTACCTTCAGCCCTCGGAAGAAAATAAAGATGGAAACCAGCTTTCTCGTCCCGCACGGCTGGTGCGCGGGGTGCACGTGCTCTGCGTTCAAATTCCAGCACAACGAGAGGCCTAGACTCACTGGCATCGCCCCTGGGTGCTGCCGGTACGGGAGCCGCTGTGGGCTAGCCACGACTATTTTGGCTAGAGTTTTTCTGGTTGTAAAAATTCCCCATTTACGCTTTTATACGTATGCCCTTTGGACAGTGGGGGAGCTGTGCAACCTCCTCCTCTCTCTCTCTCTATATGCTATACACCTATAGGTAACACTTGCTGGATGCACAGAAGCGGCTGCTCACACACTCTCAATAATTTTTCCACTGATAAGAGAGCGTGCAATTATCAGCTTCTGGGAATCCGCACTCAGAGCTCTTAAACAGGGATTATAGTTGCCAGGGATTTTTTTTTACTTTCCATTTGCCCTTTTCTATTCCATTGACCGGGCAGAACAGCACCATCCACTGGGAAGCACCCAACCCGAGGACTTCAGAGACGCAGAAAACGCTGCCCAGCGCTCTCTCTGAAACGCACACCTCCTCCCAGTTACACCAAATGGGAGCGATGCTGTAACTATTATGACCACGGAGCGGCTGTTCTTTCCGTAGTATTTATTGTGAACTACAGTGTGACAGCATGTCAGAGTTTCTGGAATTGTCCAAGGAAACCTTTCTGGCAGGGCAGCCAACCGGGCCTGAGGAACTGGATTTCAGTAACATTTAATTCCCACCAGGACTTCATACCCAGAGAAGGGCATAGGTAATGGAAGCATGACAAGCGTTGCAGTGCCGCTCATGTCCTAAGACAACTGCTCAGGCACAAACATTTCTAACTTGTGCAGCCAAGTACCGCCCAACCAGACGTCCATGAATATGCTAGGGCCCTAGAATCCTTCCACAAACGTGATCAGTCACGTTTCTCAAAAATAGCACTAAACCAATTACTGAAAGGAAGGAGGAATGAATTTTCAGTATTTCAGCAGGCAAAGTCAAACTTAGCATGAGGAGGAGACAGGGGACAGAGAAGAGCAAGAAATCCGAAGGTCTCGAGTCCCCTGTAAGAATTCCGCTGTGAAAAGCAGTGCCATCCCCGTTAGCTTACTCTAGAGGGAAGTGACACTGGGAAAGGTTGGGGTTTTAGCGTAATGGCCCCCCTGTCACAGAACAGAGAGACACCCCGTAATTTAAAGTCTCCTTCTGGTCAGGAGATTTACAGACAAACCCTTCCACTATCCATTTCTCTGCAGAAGTTTGTGGTCAGCCCAACCCCCCGTGCTGCCTGCATGGCTGGCCCTCCCCTAGCCACTGCCCCATAACAGGCTTTCCCCAGGGAAAAGACAGATATTCCTGTCCCACGCCGCGGCTGACTGCTGCAGCTCCTCATTTTCTGCAGCTTCTCATTTATCATTTGTGCACATCAGTGTAATGCCTGCCTTGAATCGCCCTAATCCAAAGCACGGGCGACGTAAATTTAACCCGTGGCAGCCTAGACAAGCTGTTGACTGGCAATCAAGATGCTGTAGAGCCTTCTCATCAAGGCCATGCCTGCCACGAAGCAGCCTGACTCATGAGCAATCCCGTAAAGCTCTAAGGTTAGACACAATAGAGTATGGACCAGATGAGCATCTTACCCTGTATATAGCACGTACACCTCCCGCCGGCTTCGCCAGCTCGACACTCTTCCTTTGTAACTTGGTAACAAGGGTTTTGGTTCCAGCCATGTTCTTATATGCCTTTTTTTTTGGTGGGGGATACCTGCAGAGAGAGGAAGTCAGCATTCTTTTAGTGCTCTGATGACTTTTCTGCCATCGATTCACACAATAAATAAATAAATAAATAAATAGGTTTCCGTAAGGAGGGAGGGGGCTGCACACTTGGGCATTCCCTTGCCTCTTAAACATGACCAACATCAACCAGCCCGCCTGACTCCCCCAAACCAGGGAAGACAAAAAAGCTGCACCACAGAAATGAAAAATGAAACGGCAAAATCCGTAACATGCTGTTGGAAGCTGCTCCTTAAGCCAGCCGAGGCGAAAGTCGGAGCAGCTGCAGTTCCAAGCTGCCTGCTCCAAAGGGTTGTGATGTCATGATGCGATTCGATTACCTCACCAAGTACTTCAAGTCGATCGCGTCAGCAGTTTCTGTTGTTTCCATTTCCTTGATTGTGTTACAAAAGGTCATTCCGTGTCACAAGAATAAAATCAACAACTTGAGGATGGTTGCCAGCGGTCCCTTCTGTAGGCATTTTAGTAGCGACCGCAGCCAGAACCCAAGAGACACCAGCATTCCTGTGTGCTGCCAGGGGCTCACCGGCCGTGTTAACCAGGGCCTTGTGAAGCTGCAGGCTGCATCCCACCCCCTGCCCACCAGCGTTGCGTTACAGTACGTCACTGCCTGTCAAGAGAGGCAAACAGCTTATGCCGCTGTCTCTGCATTAAATGCATCTTGCGTTGCAGCTAAGCCTAGCAAAGCACTAAGTGGGTGCTCAGCCTCAAGCGGATGCAGCCTTACTTCCCTTATATTCTTGAGCTGAAAGACGTAAAACCAGCCAAGAGAAAGCTGGGCTTTATGAGGAATTTAGACCATCTAACAACAATCCCTGTGCACTGCCACTGCCGTTCTTCTCTCCCAAGTTAGAAGAAAATGAGAATAATTTAAGCTCCATGTCAGTTTTAACTCTCTTCTATTAAGTCCCCCCACAGTTAGGATGGGCAACTCTGATTTAAGGAAGAACCCACCCCTTTAACCTCCGCGCAGACTCGGCATGCCAACGACCGGCCTAGAGCGAACGCAGAACTGTGCGCCGCGCTGGGAGGATGCCGGAGCTCGGGACTCACACCTTTTCAGTGTTACGTGACTCGGACATCGGCCCGCTCCCTGCCCCCTGGATGAGCGTGAGAGCCTCCAAACCTACGCTTAGGACCCATCCAGCTTTCTCACCAGGTGCTTGAACACTTTAGGTGACTCTCCACCAAAGGGGCACCCACCTCTCCTTGTGTGCAATACGTGGGAGCCGTGCTGCTGCGGGTGCATGTGCCACCCATCTCACCAAAGCCAGATGCAAACCATGCTTAGCCATTACATATATCAGAACTGGGATTCTCCAGAAGGAATAATTAAGATAAAAAGGAATAAACATTTCCTTCAGTCCAATATCACAGATAAAGTATACGCATACGCCATCAGGCAAGCTTAAGTCAACACTAGGAGTAAAAAGCTGAGCTGAGATTCTGAGATGAAGAGCGTGCAACGAAAAGGAGCTGTCACTGCGGATGCAATGCTGGACGGGGCCAAGCACTGTTATTTCCAGACAACCCCAACACTGGATGAAAGCAGGGAAGTTACCCGTCACAAATACACGTACAGGAAGCCCAGTACGAAGCGCTTTCAGTAAATCTTACGGATACCGACCCATTCAGTAGGTTTCACGTAAGGCAACAGCACCTGGATCAAAACCCAAACGAGAAGGACGTTTCCAGAGCACACACGACCACTCCTACCAGACTTACCTAGGCATAAATTAGAAACACCAGATAAAAGTAAGTACTTGGGAAAATACTGACAGCATACGAGAAACTTAAGTAACTCTACAGGTAGGTGCAACCCGAAAGTCGAAATGCTAATATTATTTCAGGCTATGTGTGTGCTGCACATAAGCACCTATGCAATGACTTCCTTTTAACTCTTTTAATTGACAGAAGACATTATTAATCCTCTATTTTCTGTACGGAACATATGTGACTAAAGTGGAAACAGATAACTTACTTAGAAAGCCTCACACGCGGGCTATAACGCTGCTGGAGCTTCCTAGATGTCACTAGAGATGCTTGGATAAGACTGCTTGAGTTCAGAGAAGGTCAACGTTTGAGAGCTTTACTCTTCAACCGGGGGTGGGGACAGCTCTTTTTGAAACGCGTTCTTTTGGAATCGTCATTATTTAGGTTTGGAATGAGTGTTCACGTCTTGCGCCTCCAGAAGCCTCAGCGGTCTGTTTGTAGCAGTATCAGGCTGTAGGCCAGAAGCGCCGGCTGTACTGTTGGCTGAGTTTTGGGATTCCTTTGGGGGTTTTTGCATCACCGCTGCTTTCGTGCCAGCTTACGTGTCGCGCTGGTCCTTACTCGGACCAGGTGGGGAAGTCACAGCCTGACTCCAGCACTCTCAGTTGTATTTTATCCACGCAGGGGGTTTTATGCACGAACCCAGTGAACTCCCTCTGGTAGGAATTCGGCACTGCACGCTGACCCCAACGCACACGGCAGGCTAGCGCAGGCAGGGCGTTCAAAGGAGTTGAAAGAGGTTTGACCTAAGGCTCATTCAAGTGCCACGCTCAGTTAGCGTTCAGGCCATCAGGACAGAGACACCCAGCTTTCTCGTGCCCTCCTGAAAATCCCAGCCATGAGCTTCAGTCTCTGACGTGGCGTACGCCGATCGTTCAGATTCACGTGCTCCATGGGAAAGCATACAAGCAGGCATCTATCACCCCTTCGACTTGAATTTGCTGGGATGCTTCCAAATCACTTCCATTTCCAGAAGGAATTAAAACAGGTACTTTGTCTCTGCAAAGCAGCTTAAGCTAAAGTCCTGATACCGCTTGCTGCTCTCACACGGGGTCATGGCCATTGAATATTTAAGCCAAAACAACAATAAGTTGAGAAGAGAGAGTAGCGATGTTTAGCAGACAAAGCTGCCTCTCTGGACCCTGCTTCTCCACTCTCCCTCTGTGAGGATCCATCTGCTTTAAGAGATCAACATAACCACAAGGGACAATGCCAAACACTGTTTAAAAACCAGAAGCTTAACTGAAAATGAGAAGCGAGCTTCTGACCTTACCCAGGGTCATCTCTCCACGTCAGGGCTGGGGTTATTTCCAGGGCAGCGTGCGAGAGCTTTCACTGCGGCTGCCTGAATAGTACACAGCCTGTGGATTAATGGATGACTTTGGCTTCTCGTTCTTACAGCCTTTACAATTCAGGAGAACGCACAGCAGATTTCTTCGGAAACGGGTGAAGTAAGAAGACAAAAGTAAGCTAACCTCCTGACCTGCCAAGTAACCTTGTGGAGAAAGCCTTTCAGCATAGCTGCTCGCTGTTTC